CCCCCCCTAACACGATCTGTCGAATTACAGACCCAAGTTCGACCCCATCCGAGACCAAAAAAAGGGAAAATTTTGGCCTTTTCTCGATTTATGTGTGTCATCCTTGCGCAGGGGCCACTTTGWTCTRGGCGCGACARATCTCARCCGCGCGATCTTGAGGATCGCGCGACCGAGATTGGCCGCGCCCAACTGCCTTGGGCTGCTCCAAAAGGAGCTAGCCCGGTAAGATGCTTGCAGCCAAGCTTGATCCCGGTACCAGATAGGTAAGAGTCCTCTGTGATAACCTACTGGCTAGCTCCTATCATGATAATGTCAGGAGCAGCTCGCCTATGTGAAGAGCTCGCCTAGTCAGGTTTCCCCCATACCGTGACATTGCAGGCTTTGCTTGCCCGCTTCTTCCCTATGGATGGCTGCCCATCCACCACTCTGGGCCCGCCCATCGGGTAGGCCTCGGTATAGGCCTGCTGGCCTCACCCTGGCTCGAGGTTAACCCGGCGGCCCAGAAAAAAGGAAAAAAACCTTGCTATTCCTCTCGCACCGTAGCCCTATACCCTGCGCATCCCTCCTTTTTAGCCTACTTAGGCTCTAAATCGTGCGGCTGCTAAGCCGCGCGACATCTTTTAGGTAGAATAAGTCTAGTCTCAGACTTTCTACGACCGCGCACCTCTGCGGCCATGTCGAGACCCGCGGACGACAGGCCATACCGCGGACTCCCGCTGTCTCGAACGGACGCCGTTGTCGTCACATGTCAACGATGTCATACATCAACAACGTCAGGCTTTAGGTTTCTCAGTTATAGGGTTGGTCTGAACAACTTTTGACAACGTCAATCTCAACCAGTTCCTCAATCCCATAAAAAAATCGGGCAGCGACTGACCTTGACAAACTCGGGCAGAAACCCTTACAGGGGTTTCTGTCCCGACAGCAATGCACTCTGCCAAGACTGATCCAGTACGTTTGCGAATGGCACGACCATCAATGAACCCAGTCAAATTGTCCCGTGCATCAAAGATGTATCTGTATCCATTTATCCCAGGTGGCATTACCAAAAGATCCAAATGCACCACCGCACCTGGTTCTGCCACATAACGTGGATTCAGGGGCTCGAGGTAGGGGATATTAGACCTCTGCTGGCAAGGGAAACAAGATTTACAAAAGTCAATCACCATCTTGCTCATCCCTTCCCAAAAATAAAGACGTTGGATCTTGTTCAAAGTTACCCGCGCAGATCTGTGTCCGCCGGCTACCCCATCATGCAGGGCAGCAATCACATCCAACTGCCGAGAGATCCCGCATACCACCTTCTTTGGGACACCATCAGCAACCTTCTTAAAGAGATGACCGTCACGAACAACGAATCCTTTGCTCTTCTCCCGCACAACCGGATCAACCTCGCTTTCGTCCAATTCCCCATTCAACCACATGCCTATTTTCTTATATTCCCCTTCGTACTCCTTTTTCTTAAACGCTTCTTTGACCTCACCGCCTCCTTCCTCCGCATTCATTATCCTCAGGCGATCCTCGTGAACCAACAAATTCATGATATATGACATCCTTCCAACGATCTGGAAAGCGTCATCAGCCCGCGTATGGCCCTGTTCAATCGTTAGCGGATCAAGCATAAGGTCGATGTCACCGGTTAAAGCCAGCCTCATCATTTCCTCTGCGGTCTGCTCGCCAAATGGATCCTCTTTGATGAAAGGTTCCTCCATCACGAGTTCTGGACGTACCTCGTGAAAGGAAAAAGCTTTGCATATCGATTTCCCATGCCGAGTGGCTGCATAAGTCATGTAGGCAAGAGTGTTAATACTCAATCGCGATTCCTGTTCCTTCAGAAAGGCATCAACCGGAACTGATTCATCCGCCTGATCCGCCTGTGGGTCCCATTCAACCCGACTCAACCCATCAGCACGATTATGACTCCCTGAAATCCGCTCGATTTCAAAGTCACACATCCAAATATAAGTCAACCATTGTGCAATGGTGGGATCATCAGGTGAATAATTCCTTAAGGATTGAGCCAATGCAGTCGGATCCACCCGCAGGATGAAGCGTCTACCGAACACATAATTCCGAAAGATGCGGAAGCAGTGAAGCATGGCCAAAGTTTTTTTTTTGAACTGGGAATAGTTCCTCTCAGCAACATTCAGAGTCCTGCTCTCAAATCTTAGAGACCTTTCCTGCCCCTCAGCATCCTTCTGAATCAAGACTCCTCCCAGGGCTGTGCGCCCCGCATCAGTTTCAATAACAAAAGGACGTTTTTCATCATCGTCAAAAAAAGGAACTCCAAGGATCAATCCGCCCTCACGAAACTCAGTCTTTATATCCTCCACGGCCTCTTGTTGCTTCGGACCCCATTCCCACTTCTGACCCTTGCGCACAAACTTTCGTAAGTGCTCCACTCTGGCGGTAAACCTGCGGATGAAGATGCGCCAAAATCCACAGGTCTGAGGAAACTTCGCACATCCGTGATTGACTTGAAAGGGGTCGGTCATTCCAAGATTTTATTAGTCTTCTTCGTGTCCGACCGGCGACCTTTCTCGTCGCAGAGAAATCCCAGAATCACTGCTCTCTTCATACTGTGTCGAGACTTAATCCCACTAGCTGTGAGATTAAACTCCTTCAACCTCATAAGAACTTTCACCACATCATTGATATGTTCCCAGACAAATCGGCGAATGTCCGGCAACACCTGCGCCAGGTCTTTCGTATGAGACCCTGGGATAACCAAGTCGTCAATATACGGTGAAGTTATGTTAGGACAATAAGGCTGCATAACCCTTGTCATATATCTCTGAACAATGGCAACGACATTTGTCCACCCCTGCGGTGCCACAGACATATTGATCAACCCGCGAGGAGTATGCATCGCCATCTTGGGCCGATCCGCGGTGTAAATCGGGAATTGATCATTCACAGAATATAAATCGATGAGGGTAATGATAGACCTTCCTGCACAAGATTCTGACAGTAGGTCTGCATGTGGAAGTCCTCCTGCATCTCGCACTATCACCGAATTCAGATTCTGGAGGTCCTGAATCCATCGCAGAGTACCATTCGGTTTGATGAAACAGAACCATGGAGATGCATACGGACCGTAAGAATAATCTGCAACCTTTGTCCGGATCTTTCCATCGAGATATGCGACCACCTTACGGTGATCCTCCGGGTTCGGATAACGTGGTCCTCTTACATTCCATGGCTCATGTGGTACAGTATGAACTCTGATCATCGGGATTTTATTGACACCCAGCCTTCCTCGCTCATCATCATAAAATGCATAGGAGAGATGTTCCTTCCTCAATATATCGATAATGTATTCCTTTTCTTGCTCAGTAAGGAGGTCCTCCTCCCCAATGATCATACTTTCCACTCTTTCTTTGGTTAACCGACATGGCCCCTTTTCACCTGTCTCTTTCATTTCTCTGATCCACTCGCGCTCCTCACGATAATAGACTTCCTCCTCTTGAGTGATCAGAACAAGCACCGGCTGCGCCTTCACTCCTACTTTCTTGTACTTACGTTTGGTGCCGGTCTCAAGCCTGCGTCCTCTAAAAAAAGACCCTGTTGAGTGGAGGGCAATTCGTGACTTTCTCCCTTATTCCCTTCCGACGGGGAGTGAACAAGGCGCATAGTCCCTGTGTTTCCGGTGTCCGTGATGATCTCCGTTAAAGCTTGCACCACATTCGGATCGATCGCCGCATGTGTCGACACGAAATCGATTGCCTGCCCAATATCAGGCAGGGTCAGCGAGAACGCACGAGGATTCGACTCCTCCCCTAGTGATTCCTTCTCCTTTCTCAACTTTTCTGACTCCTGAAAGCTATAGGATTCCGGGTTCAGCCGGTTCCGCGAGCAATAGGGTCCAGTGTTCGCACACTTGACCACTTCGTAATAACCGCAGACAGGATCGCAAAGAATTACAAACAAGGTTTCATCATGCTTGTTAATGATGATGCTTTCCGACCGACATAAGAATGCCTTTCCGAGCAGCACCTCGTGTTCCACTCTAGGTAACACATAGAAGTAAGAACGGACCTTAACTTTTCCGACCGTGACGAGAACGCCACTGGCTATTCCGCAGAATGGAGTTGATCCGCTAGCTCCCACAAAAAACCCATAGTCATCTCGGTTGATCTTCAACCCAGCTTCGATGACATGGCGCTCACGAATGATGTTCATCTCGGCTCCATCATCCACAAGTGCCGAGTACTCCTACCGTCCAATCTGGACCTTCATATGGCCGATCGACACACTTGGCCAATCCATCTTTGTCCCAGGCGGGGACCAGTTAGCCTCCGGCGGAATGATTTCGCCGAGCTTAACAGTCATGACTCTTTTACGAGTCATCTGCTGTTTAAACTCTTCTCGAATTTTCGGCGATACCGCCAAAATTTCCTTTAGCGTGACCAAGTCGCGCTGACTTTCCAAAATCTTATTAACAAGTTGCTCGATATCGACCCCCTGCTCCACGGGGATCGAATCAATATTCTTTTTCTTTCGTGGCTCCTCCTCGCTTACTTCGGCGTTTCCTTTCTCCGGCTCCCTTTCCAGTGCACGATGACAAGCCCGTTCTTCCTCTTCGGCCCGCAACTTCTCGTCCAAATTGTCCTCTTCGTTCTCACTAATGGAAATAGGCCCTTCTTCCAATGGCTTTTCATATTCTTTCTCATTTTGAAGCTGTTCGTTTCGTCGCCGCACCCGAGTCTGAACGGCTACAGTCGGGGCACTCCTCTTTAGCACAGGCCTAGGTCGCATCGTGCTTACCATTGGCCCAGTTTGTGATGTTTCTCTCGGAGCYGATGTCCCTGCTTGGCCAGACGCATCTTCCCTTTTATCACCCCATTCGCCAAAGAGAAAGACATTCGGCAATCCAGGCCAGACTTCCTCCATGTCCACATAAAGTCGGATGATAGAGTCCCGACATCGGGCAAGCCGCCTAGTGATGGTTTGCGCTCGTTCCACTACTTGTTCCCTAAATCCTTTTGGCTCCACCAGTGAGTCGTAGATATGCAATGACGCCATGACCTCCTCGACCTCGACCAACTGTGCTTCTTCAGGAGAAGCAACCCGGAACGTTGCCGGTAGCGGACGACCCATTCGACGATACACCTCCTTCCTCATACCCCCTTCAATGTTGGGGTCGATAGAATTCCCTTGGTAATCAAAGATATACGTGGTGAAGACTATCCCTTCCTTCTCATCTTTTGAAAGGAGTTGGCAAAACCGCATAATATGGCCCTTTTCTGCGCAATAGTTACACGTGGCTTCCTTCTGCCACGCCCAAAGGCTTCGCTGTCCGTTTCCACGGCCTCGACCGCGGCCTCTTCCACCCTGCGGCTGGAACTGCCCTTGATCTTGGGAACTTTGTCCTGACAAACCAGTGCCAACATTGCCATTTCCTCCTTGATTATTTTGTCCACCATTCTTCCCCTGTTTACGGGAGGTCCCCTGTCCGCCTTGAATTTGATTCAAGACCTTCCTCTCCGCCTTTGTCAACTTGCGAGGCGGCTCCTTTTCCTCCTCGCTCTCACTGTCACTTTCCTCTACCACCGACTCTTTCCCCTTCCTGTTACTATTTTTCTCTTTGGCCAACATGACTTGAAGCTTCAACCTTTCCTCCTTCATGCCCTCCATCATTTCTCTCATGCAAGTCAAAGTTTTGTAAATTTCACCGTCCTTTACTTCTCCCAGCTTCACCTTTTCCCACTCCTCCTTTTGCTGCCTCAACAGCCGGTAGAGGATATCGTCGAACTTCCCCACCAGCGCATTCTGTCGGACCTTAGTCCAGTCATACCTCCCTTGCATCCCTTCAACCAATTTCGACTGTTCGACGTCGTTGAAGTTATCAAGGAAGATGAGGCAGCGATCTTTGTCGGACAAATCCGGGATTAGGCGAGCCACACGCTCAAACTCTGACAAGAATTGTTTGGTTGTACCGAACTTTTTACGATCCACCGCCCTCTAATCCTGCAGGTCGAGCAATCGATCGTTGAGCTGATACTTCTCCAACAACCGCGCCTTAAAATCTGACCAATCGCGAGAGATATGCACCAGCTCATCGATCTCGTCTCGGTACCCCACCTGACAGTACCTTTTTACCATGCGAAGCATCTTCTCATCCGTCCATTCGTTGCTATACCCGAGTTGCTCAAACTTGTCTGCCCAAGAAGAGGCATGATTCCCATCGAACAACGGAACATCAATCTTGGGGTAAGGCTCTCGCTGCGACTGCCGAATGACCCGTACAAATTTTTGAATGTCGTTCCTCCCATCGTCGACGTTCTCGCGACGTCCTGCGGCACCGTCCATCTAGGAACATAAACCCAAGAAATCAGTCTAGGAGTTTTGGTGACATGTATTAAGGTTCCTTCCTTACATTTATAGAGGCTCAAAGATTACTAACATTTTTTCTTAGACAACCACTACGGCACAATCTTTCACTTGCTTCATTCCCGAGTGTCGTTCCACCAGGGACAACGGTAGTTTGCCGTTATCCCCGGCAATGGCGCCACCTGTCGAGCGCATCGGCCCCCGCGCGAGCGAGGGCCCTCCCGACCTCGTCACGCAGGAGAAACTTAGGCTTTCAACTTTTTAGAGACAACTCGGGGACGACACGGTAACCCGCGTCGACCCTTCGCCGCTCCGGCCGAGTGCGCCAGCTGTACATCCCGNTAGGCTTTCAACTTTTTAGAGACAACTCGGGGACGACACGGTAACCCGCGTCGACCCTTCGCCGCTCCGGCCGAGTGCGCCAGCTGTACATCCCGCGGTCCCCTACGTCAGGGATCCACCTTCAAACTTTAACGGTCGCTCTGTCCTCCTGGACAATAATTACTCTTTCTGTTCCAAAGTATCAGCTTTCCACATTAAGATTTTTACAGCAATACTCTATTCACATCTTCCCGTCAACTAGTCTGATCACCTTAGGTTCGCACTTCTTATGGTGCAACCCTATCCACGAAGATAGTGCCTAGTCGCACTCCGTCCATAGCTAGTGAAAACACGAACTGGGCTTCTTATGGCGTCAGTTCTCCACTCGTTTGTGGCTCCTAAGACGGCCACAAAGGGTAAACTATGATGGTCCTCCTTAGCGTAAGCCGACAATGACTTAACGTCTTCCGTGAATAGCGCATGTCCATCCCCTAGGAGGTGGTCTGGGATACCCCTCGTCCTCACCCGAGTGAACCTCGGATCTCAGAATTCGGGCCGGCTCCGCCACAACAGCATGGTATCCCCCCGCAGTGCGGTCCACTCCGAGTCGATCACAGGGCCGGCCCCTAGGCTTTCAACTTTTTAGAGACAACTCGGGGACGACACGGTAACCCGCGTCGACCCTTCGCCGCTCCGGCCGAGTGCGCCAGCTGTACATCCCG